ACCATTAGCTTGTCCTCATCTGTGTCTGATGATGAATCACTGTCTTCATATATTGCCTCGTCCTCAGTTCCATCTATGGCATTTGAAATCTACAACCACTGTCTAAGACGCACCCAGTTTTTAGACCCAAAATTTTTTGAAAAAGGGTGCGTCTTATACATGGGGAAATACGGTAAGTCACAATTATGATAGCAGGATTTTATAGGCACTAATTCACATCATGGCGACACAGTTGGAGTTCAAAGCGGCATTGGGATTTTCCATAGCTGGGTCGACTGACATCACCAAAGATTAATTGAGCAGCTATTATAGGCGCAGCAGAAAAACAATGATATGATACTTAGGAGATAAGAGGTTTAAAGGCAATGTTTGAAATTGTTTAAATTTGTTTTTCACTCAATCTGACTGTTATTATCTTATGTTTCAGGCACTGAGTTAGGCATAGGAGAACATAAACAATAACTAATGTTTATTGAGCACTTAGCTTATGCCAGGCAGTGTACTAAATGCATTACATTTATTAACCTGTTTAATAATGACCCTATGAGATAGGTATTATAATTACTATCATTTTATATGAAGGAACTAAGGCATAGAGAAGGTGACTTGCTCAAAATCACACAGCTGGGAAGTTAAATATTTTGCTCAAGGAAAGTTAAATATTTTGCTTAAGTAAAGATGGATATAATAAGGTTCCTTGAGCTCCAAGAATCTCACAGTATACTAAGGAGGAAGACATTCATAAGAATGATAATAGCTAACATCTATTAAATGCTTATTATTAAATACTTTACATGGCTTGTTTCATTTAATCCTCACAGCTTTATGAGTTACAGTCTGTTATATTCTGTTGTAGTGATGAGGAAACTTGTTTGAGTTAGTCACTTGCCCAACTGGGTTTCAAAATCAGGCAGTTTTCTCCAAAGACCACATTGAAGCCCACATTGTCAATCATCCTGATGGTCTTGATGGGTGATGTAGAATCCAGACCAATGCATTGGCACAAGGAAGCTCTTTGGAACAGGGAGATATTTGAATTGGGCATTGAAGGATGGGTAGAAGACTACCTTTTCCCATGCCTACTTATTATACAGTGTAGTGAAGAGACAACTGTGGACCCGAATCTCAGCTCCACCATCTTCCCAGCTGAATAACTTGTGTTTACCTCCTCTGACCCTCAATTTCCTTAATTATTAAATGGGGACAATGAAGACTATTACAGTAAGTCCCCGACTTACGAACGAGTTCCATTCCGGAAGAACGTTCGTAAGTCGGATTTGTTCGTAAGTTTGACAAAGTGAGTCTTATACACCTTTGACATAAATATACAATATAAAGCATAAAAAAACTAAACATACACACAAAAATACTGTAAATAAACTATTTTGACTTTTACAGTTACCTTAAAATGGTGGTACAGTACAACAACTGGCATATAGGGGATTGCATGGAGTGAACTGACAAGAGCAGACACATGAGCTACTTCCACGATTTGTTTGCATCTACGAATGTTTGAATGTTCATAATGCGAGGTTCATTCGCATCTGTGAAAGTTCGCAACTCGAATGTTCGTAAATCGGGGACTTAAATGTGATTGGATCTGAAAACCCCCAGCTAGGTGTCTGGCAGGCAGCATGGGAGCTTAGTGATTGAAATTACGGACAGATGGGTATAATAGCAACAGCTAGTCCCTACAGAGCACTTACCACACACCAGGCACCATTCCAAGCACTTAACATAGATTTACTTATCACCGATCCTATTAAATAGGTATTTATGGGTCTATTTTTAGACCCATTTTACAGAGGAGAAACTGAAGCCCAGAGAAGTTAAATAAGTCATCTGAGCTAGCAAATGGCAGGGTCAGAATTGCAACCCAGAGTCCATGTACATAGTAGCACTTCACTCTACTGCCTTAATTGCACAAAATGAGGTTGAGACAGTCAGCCAACAGCCCCACAGAATCAGGAGTGGGAGGAGGGAAGTGTGTCATCAGGGGAAGCTTTCTGAAGGTGCCATCTTGTCCTTTGGAAAACCTGACATCTTATGAAGTGGCAATCATAAACAAACACAAAAACACCTGGCTTCCCAGACTGGGTGAGCAGGACCCTCCAAAGAGTACGCCAGGGGTACAAGAAACCATAGCATAAACATGGCACATTCACTCACTCCATAAGTTTTTATTGTGTACCACGAGTTGTTCTATGAGCTGGGCATATTAGCCATAAACTAAATCAAACAAAAATCCCTGCCCTCATGGAGTTTATGTCCTATTGTGTGTGTGTGTGTGTGGGGGGCAGATAATATGCAAATAAATAAATAAAATGTATGTCAGACGGTGGTAAATGTTACAAAAAGAAATAAAATGAAGGGTAGAATGAGATAGAACAGTTTGTAACGTTGAATAGGATGGTATTTGGGGAGATCTCTCTGAGAAATTGGCATTTGAGCAAAGATCTGTAGGAGGCAAGGGAGTAGAAATTGCAGGAATTCTGGGGAAAGAATGTTCCATGGAGAGAGAAGAGCAAGTGCAAAGGCCCTGAGGCAAGGGTGTGTTTGGCATGTTCAGGGAATGGCAATGAGGCCACCTGGCTGGGGTGAGAGCAAAGGGGAGAGTAGTAAGAGATGAGGTCACAAGGGTGTGGTGGTGTGGGGGGTGGGGAGGAAGGCGAACACTTCTCCACCCATCTTCAAGATTAGTGTGTGATATAAAAAAACATGAGTATAGAATACAAAATATGCATGCTTTTCAAAGTTTGAAGATAAGACTTGAAGGCAACGAGCTTACGGACCCTTCCCTGCCTATCTCTCTGGAGCTCTGTCTACCCTGCTCCCACTCCCCTGACCAGCTCTGCCCCCCCCAAGGGGGTAGAAATTGGGAAACGTTGGTGTGAGTGACTGTGACTAGGTTTCTAAGCAGAGGCTGGGTCTGAGCCTGGAAGATCATCCTCACTACCTTTGGGCTCTGTGGAAGACAATGACTCTGGCTTCCTCCCAGCTAAGGTCTGAGTTTAGTCAATGAGGCCGAAAGAACCCTGGTCTGCTCAGTCTTCCAAGATAATCCTGGTTATCTTCATATCCTGGTGCTGGGAGGCCAGCCTGGGGCCTGTAACACACACTCACCACAGTGAATATTTAATGATTCAAACTGAATTTGATAAAACCTCTGGTATATCTCTGAAAACAGCCTTGAAATAGTCATTTGCTTCAGGGCTAGTCCGAGGCCTTCTTGGAGGTTCCACCTGATCTTTGAGATCTGGATCTTCTTGGATCTGCTTTGGCCTGGTTCATCATTTTTGTTCCTTTTCAGGCAGGGGTGGGGGAAGGCTGGAAGGAACTTTGATATAGCTTTTGATTCCATGAAAAACTAACACTGGATTCAGTTGAGATTCCAGCCAAGTAGTCAGTTTGTCTTTGGCTCACATCCCTATTTAGGGGGCAGTCTCTTGGTGTTTCTTTCTTTTCAACAAACAAGCTGGTCATGGAGGGAGTTGAATATGATGCCATCTCAGCCTGCAGGGGTGAACAGGGACAGTACAAGTCACAGTGCAGTGATAACAGCCATCACTGACTGAACAGGACACGTGGTAAGACAAGGACCAATAATTGCCCTTCCTCTCCTAGCTAACAAAGCTGAGGCTTAGGGGTTTAGGGACCTTGCAGTTTCAGAACAATCTGACACCAGAGCATGTGCTCCTAACCTCTGGGATCCACTGTCTCTTTATTAGATTCCCTATAAGAATATGTGAGAGTAGAAAAAAAAAAAGAAAAAAGAATATGTGAGCAACTTGCTTTGGTTTTGGAAAGGAAACAGCTGCAGGTTTCATTGTATTTTTATGCATACATTTAATTTGTTCAAACATTAAATCATCCATAAAACTTAACTGCTATGCACTAAGGATATGGAGACAAACCTATGTTTGGCCTTTCCTGGAATCGTCATTCAACCTAACCTGGGAAGTGGGGAGGAGTAGCTGTGAGTCAAGTATTACAGAACATCAGAAGAGGGAACAAGTAGCTGTTTCCAGAGGGGGTGATGCTTGCCTAGGCATTCAACAGTAGCAAACCTGGACAGGGTGCTACCCTGTGCCTGGTTCAAAGTATCACAGCGCAGTTCTCCTGATTTGGGGACCTCTATATCAAAATTGTCCTGGTGCTTGTTAAAATGTAATTTTCTCTCTTCTCTAGAGGAGAACCAGAGAATTAGATAGAGCAGGTCTGTGTGGAGCACCCAGGTGAATCTGATGCACACTCAAGTTTGCCAGGTGAATGGGGAAAAGAAATCGGCCCAGGCAGGAGAAACAGCACGGACAATGGTTTGGGATTCCTTCGTGGCCTGCAGACCCTGGGTTGCAGTTCAAGACTAGGCTCTGGGAGCAGAGGGATTCTGTCCCTACTGTTTATCACCGGGGGCCTGGAACACAGTAGGGCCGCGTAAATATTTGTTAATACGCCGGCTCCCCAAATAGAAGTGACAAGAGAGTCAAAGGGAAAAACGAAGATGTCAGAGGAGGGAAACAAATGTTTTTCTAAGGGGATGAAAACTTTCCAAAAAGTCCTGGAAAAGAAAGCTCAGTCTACCAGAGGGAGTAGGGAAAGTGGCCGCTTCGGGAAGGGCGATGAATCCTGTCGGGGATGAAGCTGGAAAGAGGGCTGAAAGCGCCTTGTCACCTCTCCAGGACGGCTGAAGGTGTGAGGTCACCTGGCACAACGCCAGCAGCAGCTGCTTCGCCTCGCCGGAGCTGCGGCGGGAGGCGGTGTCAGGCTCTGGCCCCCGGGGGATTTTCCCTTCCGCCCCCTCGGGAGGCGTGGCTCAGAGTCCCGCTGGGTGCCCGAGCCTGTGCCACGCCCCCGAGCCTGTGCCACGCCCCATTAGTTGCCTCCAGGCGGTCTGTCCTGCTCCCCGCCCTAGGCCACGCCCCCGAAGTACGGTCGTCCCATTTCCTCCCGAGACTTCAGAGACGCCAGGGCTTGGACCCGCCCGCAACGAGGCCCCGCCCCGTGGTTTGAAGCGGCTCGGGCTGCTGCCGCTTCAGAATCGCGCGCGAGGCGTGGGGTGGTGCTGAAGAGTCCCGGCTGAGGCGAGCTTGACTCTGGGACTGTCCAGGGAAACGCAGCGCGGCGGGAGCCCACACCAGAGTAGCCCCGGAGCAGAAGCTGCCTCCGCTACTACCGTCTGTGTAGCCCAGCCGAGCTGGCCATGGCGTTGTCGATGCCGCTGAACGGGCTGAAGGAGGAGGACAAAGAGCCCATCATTGAGCTCTTCGTCAAGGTGAGCGCTCGCCTGCCGTCCAGCCCCGCTGAGCGCCGGGCGCTCCCCGGGCAGCCGGGGGTGGTGTCCCTGGGCGCGGAGCGTTCCTCAGCCCAGGCGCCCCCGCGCGGCGTCCGGCACCCGGGACTGAGGGAAGCGCTGCTCCCGCGCCCCCGGCCCATTGTTTCGGGCCCACCCGCGCCTTGCCGTCTCCTAGGCCTGTCGAGGGAGCAGGGGTGGGACCGGGACCCCCAAAAGCCAGCACTCCGGGCGGCGGTCACCGCCTCCAGCTGCGCAGGCTCCGGCAGACGCCAGACCGTGGTCCCGCGTCGGGTTGGGAAGAGCTGCTCGCCCTCGGGCCCCGGAGTTTCCCAGGACCAGGGCGGGGGTGGTCCTGTCACCCACCCCGCCCTGGCGCCCAACCCCAGACCTCCCCCGCCCCCATCCTACCCTTTAGCGCTCCAAGTCCACCCTCAGCCGGGGAGCTGGAGCCTCGAGCCAGTGGTGAAAGGATGAGCTGAACTTTTTGAACGCTTTTTGAAAGAACCTTTCTCTCCCCGCTGCTATGAAACTGTAACTTTAATTTTTGATGCAATCTTAAACATTTTTTTAAAAAAAGAGCAGAGATTCCTAGGCTTCCAGAAAAGCCCGAGATTCCCAACTTGGGTTTTCCTGTCTTAGGTATTTTACCACCATCTGGTTTTCTTGTTTCTCAAGCGCGGAGTGTTTTGTATGATGCAACATTTTGGCTGCTCCCCTCGGTGTTGCTGCCTTGGGAAAGATTGTGTGTGCCCTTTTGTTTAAAAAAAAAAAATGATGAGGGAGAGAATGCATAACTTGCTTGTGCCTTAAAGGGTTGATTTCCTCCCTCTGGTCTTCTCAGTTTTTATATCCTGGAACTACATTATTTACAAATACTACCCCTGTCCCTTTCCTTTTTCCTTTAATATTTTTCATTTTAGCAAAGGAGAGAGAGTAGAAGTTACGAACATCTGGATCCAGCTGCCTCCTTCAAAACTTTGTAAAAATCCTCGAGATTCTCTTAGTCACTTAAGCAGGCTCATTCAAAGCTAGCCTCTGGATTGGAAAGTCTACAGAAATCCAGAACAATTTTGTTCTTGTTTTCCCTGAGTTTTTTATTTTAAAGAAGGGAAGACGTGGAAGGGTGCATTTGAGACATGGAGAGCTGATCTGCGAGTGATGGAAACAGTGCCTGTGTTAGGATTTTCTTTCAGTTATCAGTTTTAGAAACATTTTGGTCTAGGGAACTGAAATAAGAGACAGATATAGAACCCCCAGAATATCTACAAAGAGTCTCAGTTACTTTGGGTGGCAGATATAGTACTCTGAAGTACAGAGAATATAGGAAGGAAGCTGGATAAGAGAAAGGACAAGGAGTGGAAGGCATTGAGAAGGGCAAAGGGTGGATCAGAGATTAGTAGTCAAATTATTTTACTGAGTTCGGAATAGGAAGGAATTTCCATAAACTCTTCTAAAAGTCTAAAAAACCATGATACTTAATGGTGAAACTTTAGAAGGAGCATTAAATTTAGAATCTGATAAGGATACTATCAGTAATGGTTTCTTTTCAGTATTCTACTGGAGGTCCTAGCCAATACAATAAGAGAAGAAAAAATGAAGGGTGTGAATTAGAGAGGAAGAGATCAATGCTTAATGCCCTGCTTACTATTAATTTAACCCTTAAATTAGGAGTGGTGCCTTGTTTCCCAAATTTGAATCACTTGCATACCTCCTCCCAGTTTTACATATTTATGTTAGATCAATATTTTTATTTACTAAATACGACTTGCTTTTTTTTTTTTTAAACAAGCAAACAAACATAGCTTAGCCTTAAGCAATAATACCTGTGAAACTATGGATTAGATGTAATGGTTATATTTCTTATAACGATAAACGATTGTTTGTGAACCAGCTAAAAACATCCTGCTTACCACTAGTTGTAAGCCTTTCTAATGGGCTTTGGTAAGAGAGAACCAGGGTTCCAGTCACAGTTGTTTGCTCACTGGCTGGTTTACCCAGGGCAAGTTGTTTTCCCTCTCTCAGCCTTATTTTCCTAGTTTGTGAAGTAAGAGGTGAAATGTTTTCTGTTGCCCTGTGATTCAGCATAGGCAAAACTTTGTACTGATATAAACCAGGATAGTTGTTTCAAAGGAAAAAAAAGGGCCAGGTACATTGTGGTAAAGACTATTTTTCATTTCTTCTCAAAGCCTATGTGTGGGAAATGCAAATGGGGGAAAACACCCTTGTAAATATAGTTGTTTTGAAAGCAGTGAGTGGGCAGAGTCTGGGGTTGTCAAGTGTGGTGTGTTAAGCAGTGTTAATTATTCTGCCAACAGGTATCTGTAGCAGAAAACTATTATCTGCACTTGAAGCACATGAGTGTAAAAAGATATTGAGTTTAGGTATCTTTAAATTTAAGAGAAATAGGCTAGGACCGTCCCAACTGGTGTGACTGGGTTCAAAGGTACACTTCCTTACTTGTGAGTATTGTTTTTGGAATTGTTTGCTCAGGAGTTCAGTGACTCCCCATCACCTGTATAACAGCAGTTGTCCATTTTTATATGTTTTTTTTTACCCCAACACTGAGGTTAGGACATCTTCCCAATAATAAAAGAGTTACAAAGGCAGTCATCCTCAACAGTGGGGATGCCCACTTCTCCCACATTGAGAGACCTGGTAGGTGTGTATATTTTGATAACACCACCAAGCAATAGGGTGAGGGTATAAACCCTTTAGCAAGGTCTTATCTAACCATTGCCTGGATTTCTAATCCAGTTTGTCCACTTACTAATTGTGTTCCAAGGCACATTATTTAAACCTTTCTGTGCCTCATCTGCATAGTTGAAATATTAATAGACCAACCTCATGGGATTAAATTAGTTAATATATATGTGGAATGTAATAAGCTTAGAAGAGTGTCTAGCACACAGTAAGCAAATAAATGCTAATTGTGAGTCATTTTGTATGTACATATTTATATGCAGACCCCTCTACTAGATAGACAGTAAGTTCCTTGAGGGTAAAATCTGTATTCTGAGTGCCTGGAATATAAGAGAGTACAGAATGGTTTAAATGAGATTGTTTTCTTATTTCTGAACGTTTTGCTGTCAATATAGGGGTCTGCCATGTTTTGGAATTGGGAACTACTTACTATACTTAGATCCTGATGGTCTGAGTCTCAAACCTTGGTCCTTCGTTTAACTTCTGCTAGCTTCCCAAACTCCATGTGGTTTTGTCTGCACACCCTTTCCCCCCCTCCATTATTTAGTACTTCTAGTCTTTTCATGTATCTTTCATAATTTCCAACAATATTTCTTCTTGGTTATGTTCAGAATTTGAAAACCAAGATTTCTGTATTGGGTAAAAGTAAAGAGTATTAACTATTGAACCACAAAATGAGGGAAGTTGAGAAAAGACTGGATTTTTGGAGTTTTCTTTTGCTTATATCAGTCCAACTCCTATGGACACTACTGCCTTCCCTACTCCCTACTAGTAGTTTTGGTATAATGTGATGGTATTTCTGATCTTTTTTAGGAAGAGTCATTTTGCAGAGTTTACTTTTATTGGCTGGAATTTAAACTTGTTGGTGTGCCATTTTGAGTTGGGACAATTCACTGTTGGTAATAGTCATTAAGCTGCTGGGATTGGGGTGGTGGTTGTAAAAAAATAATCTTGTGCAGAGTGGCTTAACACATAAGAATAGCTGGTTTTTTTTTGAGATATTTGACAGGGTTTCTCATGTGCCTTGGGCTCTGGAGCCAGATTGCTTGGCTTGGATCTGGTTTCTAGTAGTGTGTCAGGCAAGTTTCATCAGTTCTCAATACTTCCGTTTCCTGACCTCTAAGATCAGGATAATAATAATAACGACAATTTTATAGGATTGCTGAGGGGAATTAACTGGCAATCTTTATGTATTAATTAGTGTAGTCTAAGCAGCTGTAATAAATAATCCACTCCAAACAATGGTTCAAATAAGATGGAAGTTTGTTTTCTTTCTCACCTAGCAGTCCAGTTAGGGTGTCCCAGATGTTGGAATGGCATTCCTCCTTAGAATCATATAGGGGTTAAAGCTCTTTCCAGCGTGCTTTTCCACCAATCCCAGAGCATTGTCCTCTGAGTAGTCAAAACTGGTGGCTGAGAAGTCTTGGTTGCAGCCAGTGGGAGGTAGAGAGTATATAGGAGGCACATCTCTCTATCTGGCCCCAGCTTAGAAGTTGACCTGTCACCTCCTTTCATATTCCACTGGTGAGAACTTAATCACATGGTTTCATCTAACTGCAAGGAATACTGACTGGGAAATGTGATCTAGCCATGTACCACCCTATGTAAAGCATTAGAAATAGTGCTTGGCACACAGTAAATACCTATTTTTGCTGTTGATGATAGTATATTATTCTTAAATGTGGGCTTCATTAATAGGATTCAGGGGATTCTGTAAACCCTTGAAATTACATAAAATATTCTATGCAAATGTTTTTTTCCTGCAGATTCCTAACCCAAGGGGTAAGAACCATTGTTCTAACAAAGTAAATGGTGGCATTCTGATTGTCAAGCATAATTCATAAAAGTAAGGTACAGTAGAAATGTTTGGGCTAGATGATCATTAAAGTCACTTCCATCTGATTATTTGTAACTTAACGCATTTATTGGCATGAACTAAATGCCTAATACTCAGTTACTATAGACAGTATAAGAAATTATTAAACACTTCCTATCTTTAGGTTTATAAATTTTATGGGAAAGAAAACAGCAATACAAGATGATGCTTGAAGAGCATCAACAATACAATACATGCTTAAGGAGTCGAAGTGTGGCTCACATTAAGTTGGGCCTATGAGATATGGGGAAAGATGGAAGTAGGCTTGAACTTGACTTTGAAAAAGTAGGTGAAATAGGTGAATTGGGAATAGCCAAGAATGGGAATGTGAGTTGTGACATCATTTATAAACCCCTTAAGCAAGAAACAATAGGTAGATTGATACTTTGGAATGAAGAAGGAA